CTTCTCCCATCGGCGATCGCGCCAAATCTGCTCAACCTCATCCGAGACTAACCGATCGCTTTTACTTTTGTTTCAGGCAAATGGTCGGTCGGATTCTGGTGGAGATCTTCAGGGCTGCCGTGGATTGTGGGATCGAGCTAGTCGTCGACGAAATCATGAAACCTGTTCGCCTTATCATCGACGATCGAGGTACCTTCGATGTCTCTATTATCCTTCATTTTTCTCAGCAGCACCCAACACGGCGCAAATCTTTATCCTTTAAAGACACAAGTAGTCGTCGAGTGCTCCAAGTGCACTTTGCCCTGGAGGCCGGAAGATGATAAAAGCGCGCGCGTAGGGAGCATTTCCTGTCGGATGTCGTTGCAGTGAGTCGCGTGAGAATAGGACACCGGCTCGAGGAGGCAAAAGGTGGAGGTCGAAAGGTCGCGATTCTGTGCGTCGAGGAAAGAAATTACGAATAATAAAATGGACCTCACGTGGCGGCTGGTCCAGCGTGAGCTTGCAAAGCGCCGTTGCGTTCTGGCACCTAGTAACGCCTGCGGGTGGGTGCTCTGAGATCGCCCGTGTAAACGCGCCCTAATCCCCACAGGGCGTGCACCCTGCCAGAGGAGTCGTTCTGCGGGGCATGCTCGCGATCGGCCGCGATCGGCCGCGATCGGTCGGCCAAGTCGTCTGGCGTGAAAGCATTGAAATGAGCGCGTCTGGGCCAACTTTCACGCCGACCGGAAGGAAGCGCCACAAACCGACAAACCGGAAGGCCGACAACTCTTTCGCTAGATGCCCGCGACCTCCTCCAGCTCGTGCACCGGGAACCGGCTCGCAACGAAGGGCTCCGGTGGCTTCTGTTTTGTTTGGTCGGACCCGGAAGGGGGTGTCCTTGCGCGGGGGAGTCTCCTAAATATCGCGTGGTGAGAGATACGCGGAGCAAATGTAAAAATAGCAGTGGGTGCTCTTGAGAGAAGAAGAGAAGAGCATTGCTCGGACTCCGTGGGGAGGGGGGGGGGACCCAAGAGAAGCAAAAGGGGGGAGGTGTCGACAGACTGGCCTACACTTCCGGTAGGGCACGTGCGCTGCCGGAAGCTGCCGATGCTTTCGAGTATATATAGATAGAGGGAGACGACGACCCCCTTGGCGCGTGCCTCCCCCTTCCCGACTCCTCTTTGGCTCCTTCTCGCCCGAGAACGAAGATTCTCTGCAGCTGGGGAAGAAACAGTCGAGACGATCCTCCTCGTAGAATTTCCTAGTAACCATTCGTAAGGGTACGCTTCCGTCTTCTGTAGTCGCTCTTGGCTTTTGCGCGTTTTGCATCTTTTGCACCTTTTGCGCCTTTTGCGCATTTTGCGCCTCTTACGGGTTCCAAGCTTTTTACGGGGCAACGCGAGGCGCCAAGCGATGCCCACTGCGTGTCTCTTTAGACTATTTTTAGAGACATCTTCGACGCATCTTGCACTTCACACGTGCTGTGCAACCTTCTCCGGGGCGCGCCCCTGCCTCTCCTTCTTTCTCTTCATGATCCTGCCTTCCCCTTGACACATTTGGGGTACGGCACTAGTGGCTTGTTTCGCTCCCTCGTCTATGCTTTATATATATTTTTAGAGCGTACCCTCGGGGTTCCGGTGCAGCAGGCAGGCAGGGCCCGTGCGGCTTTTAGGGAGGGCACGACGGGACAGGAAACGGTAAGGACGCGTTAGGGCTCGAGGCGCAAGTGAGAACGCTGCGTTGAAAATACTTAATATCAGTTTGTAGCAAGCCAAAGTCTTACTATAGAAAATTGAAGTCGGGCGGATTTATCGCGCAGATTACAGATGAGCCTCGGGTGGGTTTCTATATTGAAAAAAAATACGGCAGAAGAATCTCTCGTGATTCGCAAGAATCTACTAGCTTCGTCAGCATCTGCGGGATCCACGTGCGTCGTGTCCCGCGCACTCGGGGTGGTGTCGCATGTGGAAGGGAGGTCATTCACGTGGGTCATGCGAGGGCAAATCCCCTGGAAACGCCGGAAACCTTGGACTTGGGAGAACAGCTCCCGGCGATAATTTATTTATGAAATATTGCATGGTTGTGAGATTGAGATGGGAGGGGGAGGAGCGGGGGGGGGTGGTCTTTCTCAAGAGGACGAGGATTAGGATAGGGAAGATGACGAGCCTGAAGATGGGGAGCCGGGAGGCCTAGAACTATTTTCGAAGGTGGGGGCAGGCGAAGGCCTGTATGAAAGCCTGGGGTGCCTCCGAAAAGGTGTAGATGAAATGGATTATTTTTGGAGCGACCTTTAAGGGCGTTAGTCCCTACAGCGGCTGCCGATGCTGCTCGAGTGCTGGATCGCTGGATCGCTGGATCGCTGGCTCCACCCTTGAGCGGAGTGACTCCGCAGCGTCCCTCATCGTCCTCATCCTGTTTACTGGCTGGCCTCGCGTTGTACGCCATTGAAATACCTAATTGCCAACAGGAACGCATGCGCAGACAGAACGGAACGAGAGGTGGATAAAGTCACTTGGGTATTTCGAATCAGGCGAATCAGGCGAATCAGGCGCGTCAGCCAGTCAGCCACTTCGGTTCGTCTTCCACAGATGTCCTTCCACTGCTCTCCCCTCTGCCGCTTTTGCTCCGCGCGTCCTTTCTGAGAAATGACGCAGTTCGAGAATTCTAATTGGATCGGCGATTTGGCTCGCGGTGCTCGCGGTGCTCGCGGTGCGACACCTCTGCGCATCCGATGGAGTCGCAGCACGACGTACCCCAAGTTATTTTTAGCCTAGTCTTCCTGCGCAGAAGGCAAAGAGGAAGAGATAAGGACCGGTGATTGATTGCCGGAGGCTGCTTTGCAGGGTGGTGCTGCTGGTTGTGCCGCTGCTGGTGGTGGTTCACCCTCCGAGGGAGTGAGAGGAGCACGCCTAGCACCCCTAGCACCCCTGCCTCTTCTTTCCCTCTCCTTCCTTCCCTCTTCCGATCCGCCAGAGTCATTCGGCACTCCGAACTCCGAACGCGGCCGAAACCCGTGACTGCCTCAACTTTGGGACCTACAGGACACGGGGGCCCGAAAGAGGGACTTTTCAAAAGGTTCGGGGCCTGCGTCCCTCGGGCCAGCCCCCTGTGCCCCTTTGCCCCTTTGCCCCTTTGCTTCCGTCGAAGTGGGGATGAATCTTCTCCCGCCAAGAAAGTCTGCACCAGGAAGGTGCATGCTGCACTCGTGCTTGCCAAACCTTCCCTCAGTCTCACCCACGCGTCCGTTGCGAACGGATGCGCGCGCGCGCGCGTCTAGTGTCGAGTGTGCCACTTTATTTTACTCCTTTCTATACTTTTCTCCGAACTTCCATGCGGTGCAGTGTTTTCTGTTACGTTGAGCTTCTCAAGGCAGTTTCTATTGGTCTTCCGTGCGAATGCAGAAGTTGCACGGCAACAAGATCACGCGGATTGGAATGAAATTCTAATAAAAGTTTTCGCATATTGCGAATGATTTGAAATGCGCGCAGTTTACGCGGCGTGATGAAAATTGGAATTGCGGCCGAGATCTGTTCGATCCACGTGGCCCGGGGGGGCGGGCAGGGGGGCAGGGGGGCACGTGCAGACGGTGGGCGATGCGCAGGCGCGAATTGTTCCCGCCATCCGTCATCGTTTCGCTCGTTGGCGCTCGACGCGAATTCAGATAGAATCGTATGGACTCGGGATTTCTGGAATTTCTTTATTCTTTCTTCTTCCGCGGAAACGTCAGGAGCCTCATTGTTTGCCGGTTCTCGAGGAAGATGGATTTGCGGGTCAGCCGCCTGTAAAAAATTCACCGACACCTGTTGCGCGTTCCTATTGGATGTTCGTACAGCCGTCTCTGGAAATGTCAAAGTTTCCTGTGCGCTCGAGAAATAGATTGTCGTTCAACGGAGGACGTG